GCCGACTTCGAGCAACGGGTGAAGCACTTGTTCTCTGGTTTCTTCTGTGCTCCAGCCTTAGCGGCGTTTTGGCGTTGGTGACTTGGCCATGTCAACGTAGGTCGCGGCCTGCAGGTGAACACGATTCGAGTATTGTTTTTCGATCCCGACTCGAAGAGCCTCCTCATCTCATCGTCTCAGATGCGCAAGAAGGCCACTCACTTGCTATAGTCGAAGTTTCTGAATTCGCAATGTGACACAGTCCGTTTTGATTCGAGAGTGCGAGCGCAGGGAGCAACGACCATCAGCTTGACAAGGGGCATCCTGGGGCAATGTGCGCAAAAACAGCAGGCATACCAGAGCTTGTCAGTGCAGAAAACATGTCTATTTCAGCATTGGTGCATGGCGCAGGTTATCCATATCCCGGACATTCATCAGAATCCCTTTGTCAAGACCTGAGCAAGGGTTTTGACTTCCGTCTTCGTTTGTTCTGTCAGCCTGCACGAGGTCGAGCCCGTGTCCGATGGGCTACAGCGAAATGGCAAACCGGCACTCACCCGAGCAAATCGGACATGTCCTATCATGTCCACATCCCTCCGTTTCTGCCCGTGTGACTTGAGAGGTCAGCAGCCATGCTGCGATGCTCGTTGGACCCATGCTCGTGGAGTCTTCGCGTGGAGATGACAAATGGGGTGCCTTCGCTGAGTCTTGGGTTGGTTGATCTTTCACCTGGAGACTCGTTTCCGCCAACAGTGCGACAGCCATGCTGCAAGCTCCTATACCGTTCAGGGTAAAGAGGATTGGTTAATCTTCCCGCGAGCGAGGGAAGATTCCCCCAACTACCACTGCGTGAGGCGTCTCTGAATCCCGCTGGTACATGTGTGGAAGCAATGCCTGAAGGTTCCACCAAAGCCACAGTTGTAACGTGTCTCTGAATCCAGGTTTCGCCAACTACTTGTGCCGCCGCGGTGGGATGTCTCTGAATCTCGGGTGTTCACGGGGGCAAGCATGCGGAAGGTTTTGCCTGCCACCCACCACTGTGGTGAGGTGTCTCTGAATCCTGCCAGCGCATAAAGGGAATTATGTTGGTTAGGTCTCTTCATCCGCCAGTACATGAGGCTACCGATTCTGGTTGCAGTGGTGGTCCTAGACCAATGCCGGCATTCTCTTCTTGTGGTTAAAGTCGGTGCATTTTGGGAGGTCAAACACGAATTTTCGATTTTTCGACAGCTTCACCTCTGAAGTCGCAATGGCCGTCTTACACTTGGATTCTCCGTCAGTGTTCATCAACGAGGTGTGTTGTGCGAATGCCTAGGGGGGTACTTGCATCTGAAGTTCTCTCGGGCCTGCACCCACCCCTTCAAACACAGATTTGTGCAAACCATGACCAATGTGCCAGGGTGCACAGCCTATGACAGGCCTACCCATATGGCAATGACATGCCCTGCGCCTGCCCACACACATGTCCTTGCTGGACTTCAAGACGGTGGGATAGGTCCAGGGACCTGCATCAGCTTGCTGTTAATCTAACACTCTCGACTTCGGTCTTCGGGTTTCGGCTTTGTCCTTCATCGCTCTTCATGGTTTGCACTCGTGGCTGTTTTGAGGGTTCAGCCTGATACTTGCTTTTCATTCTTTTCGGGGTTTAAGGGTTTGCTGCCCGTTGCCGGTCTTGGGATGGGAGTTTGCTGCCGTCAGCAGCAAGAGGTTTGCTGCCTCTCATTCGTTTTCGGGTTTGCTCCTCATCGTCTTTACGGTTTCAGCATGTTTTAGGTTCGCTGTTCAGTGCGCCTTCAAGCTCATTCATGTAGGGTTTGCTACCTGGTTGCTGCCAATGAATGCTTTCTAGTTCTCTCTGGTTTAGAGTCTCAGCAATCGTTCTTCGAGGGGTCCAGTGGTTGTCTTGGAGTGGTGCTTACTACCATTAAGTGTTTGAATGTCTGAGTTGGGCGTTGCATGTCTCTATCTTTCGGGGTTTGCTTCCCATCACGCTCCTTGACTTTTCGGGTTAAGGTTTCGCCGTCCATGGCACGTTTGGGAGTTAGGGCTTCCGCTCATTGCCTGTGGTTTTAGATTGCTTAGGGTTTGATGCCGCCGGCCATCACTGCTTTTTTGGCGGTTCGGGTTTGCAGGTCGAGATTACTTTCCTTTACCTTTGCATTTTGCGCCATGTGTCTGGTTTGTTGCTTGTGGAATCTGGGGCTTCTACTCATTGCCTGCCGTGTCGGTGTGTAGTTTTAAATTGATTTAGCCTTCAGTCGTTCTTTGGTTCAGGACTTTTTTGCTCTGAGAGTTTAGGGTTTGTGGCTTCTGTCCATCACTTCTTTTGTGAGGGTTCAGGTCAGGTTTCCAGGTTGGGACCTTTTTTTGGATCATTTCTTTTGCTTTTACGTTTTGCCGTGTGTGTGTGTCTCGTTCTGGGGTAAAGCGATGGCTCGTGAAGTTTCTGAGGTTTGCGGTTGAAGATGGTTGAAGGAAGGGTTTACGTGTTTGCGGCTGTTGCCGCGCCTCACTCTTCTTCAGGTTTCTGTTCCGCAACCCAGCACTCAGTGAGGTATAGTGGGGTGTCTGCCTGCGACGACTTCTTCAGGATTACGTTTGGTTGCGCATCCTTCAAGGGTCTCGCCTCGTCATTCTTTTCCTGCTGTCGCGTTTAAAAGCATTCTTCATCTATCGGGTTGAGGATCGAGGATTTGCGGCTGGGGCTCAAGGCTTGACGACGCATAGTTTGAGGTATGATAGGGTGCTGCCCATGCTCCTGGTGGACATTTGGAGACTTGACCCTCTCTGTAATTTACGGTCTGTCTGGCGATCACTACTTACTATCAGATGTCTCAGCTTGGAGGGTTAGGGCCGGTTAGGGCATGTTAGAAATAAGACTCAATTCGGAAGTGAGGTATTGATCATCGTCATTCTACGGGTTTGCTGCCGTTTGCTCTTTCACCGTCTTGCGCTGTCTCTCATTCCCAGTTTGCGGTCCCTGATTTTTGCCCATCGGTTCTCAGTGCTCCTTGAAGCTCATGCCTGACGTGTTTGCTTGCCGTTTCTTGCTGGTTTGGTGATTTGGTGTGATCGGTCTTTGAGGAGTTCGGTTGTTGTTTTGAGGTGGTGCTTGCCACCGCTAAGTGGTTGAATGTTTGAGTTGGTCATTGCATCCTCTATCTTTTAAGGTTTGCCGGGTTAATCTTTCGCCCTCCATGCCAAGTTTTGGAACTTGGGGCTTCTACTCATTGCGTGCTGTTTCGGTGTGTAATTTTAAACTGATTTAGCCTCCAGTCGTTCTTCGGTTCAGGACTTTTGCTTTCAGAGTTTAGTAATTTAGGGTTTGTGGCTTCTGTCCATCACTTCTGTTGTGAGGGTTCAGGTTTCCAGGTTGGGACCTTTTTTTGGATCATTTCTTTTGCTTTTACGTTTTGCCGTGTGTGTGTGTCTCGTTCTGGGGTAAAGCGATGGCTCGCGAAGTTTTTGAGGTTTGCGGTTGAAGATGGTTGAAGGAAGGGTTTACGTGTTTGCGGCTGTTGCCGCGCCTCACTCTTCTTCAGGTTTCTGTTCCGCAACCCAGCACTCAGTGAGGTATAGTGGGGTGTCTGCCTGCGACGACTTCTTCAGGATTACGTTTGGTTGCGCATCCTTCAAGGGTCTCGCCTCGTCATTCTTTTCCTGCTGTCGCGTTTAAAAGCAATCTTCATCTATCGGGTTGAGGATCGAGGATTTGCGGCTGGGGCTCAAGGCTTGACGACGCATAGTTTGAGGTAGGATGGGGTGCTGCCCATGCTCCTGGTGGACATTTGGGGGTTTTTTGCCCCTCTGACCCTTTCTGTGATTAAAGGTCTGTTTGGCGATCACCTCTACCAGTTGTGTGAGGTTCTATGTTTCGGTTTGGCCGGTTAGGGCTAAGCCTCAATTTGGAAGTGAGGTTTTGATGCTTGTCATTTTGTTGGTTTGCTGCCGTTCGCTCTTTCGCGGTCTTGCGCTATCGTCCTTGTTTGCAGTGCGTAAATTTTGCCCATCGGTTCTACGGTGTAAGTTTTCCCAGTTATCCTTGAAGCTCATGCCTGATGGAACTGGTGCTTATAGTGTAACTTCTTTCTATTTCTTGCTGGTTTGGTGATTTGGTGTGATCGGTCTTTGAGGAGTTCGGTTGTTGTTTTGAGGTGGTGCTTGCCACCGCTAAGTGGTTGAATGTTTGAGTTGGTCATTGCATCCTCTATCTTTTAGGGTTTGCTGGGTTAATCTTTCGCCCTCCATGCCAAGTTTTGGAACTTGGGGCTTCTACTCATTGCGTGCCGTTTCGTTGTGTAGTTTTTAAATTGATTTAGCCTCCAGTCGTTCTTTGGTTCAGGACTTTTGCTTTCAGAGTTTAGTAATTTAGGGTTTGTGGCTTCTGTCCATCACTTCTTTTGTGAGGGTTCAGGTCAGGTTTCCAGGTTGGGACCTTTTTTTGGATCATTTCTTTTGCTTTTACGTTTTGCCGTGTGTGTGTGTCTCGTTCTGGGGTAAAGCGATGGAGCGTGAAGTTTCTGAGGTTTGTGGTTGAAGATGGTTGAAGGAAGGGTTTACGTGTTTGCGGCTGTTGCCGCGCCTCACTCTTCTTCAGGTTTCTGTTCCGCAACCCAGCACTCAGTGAGGTATAGTGGGGTGTCTGCCTGCGACGACTTCTTCAGGATTACGTTTTGTAGCGCATCCTTCAAGGGTCTCGCCTCGTTAGTCTTTTCCTGCTGTCGCGTTTAAAAGCAATCTTCATTTACCGGGTTGAGGATCGAGGATTTGCGGCTGGGGCTCAAGGCTTGACGACGCATAGTTTGAGGTATGATGGGGTGCTGCCCATGCTCCTGGTGGACATTTGCGGGTTTGCTGCCCTTCTGACCCTTTCTGTGATTAAAGTTCTGTCTGGCGATCACTTCTATCAGTTGTGTGGTAATGCACGTGTGCATCTAGTGACAAAGCCCGTCTGACGATGTTACCTTTCGAGTTTTGCCGGTGTGGCAACAAGCTTTTTCAAGTTAGCTCCACGTACAGCCATGGCCGAAGCAGCAAAGGTGGCAGCCCGTCCGCTGCAGAGAGCGCTGGAGCGGCTCAGCCCAAGGAACGGCTCCGCACCCGGTCGCAGACCGACCAAAGGGCGTGCCGATGACGCGGCAACGGCAGAGACGCGGCGCACCCCGTCCGTGGCCGTGATCAGCACCGCTTTGCGGGTCTTGGTGGGCGCCACGGAGGGAGCATCTGCGCCAGAAGGCGAGAGCAAGGCTGGCGTCCCTGTTCGCCCAGTCCGTTGCGGAGGGCTACAATGCCTATGATATGACGACGCTCCCACTACAGGCGCTGATGCCTGGTACAACAGCAAGGCTTTGGTTTCGGCCCTGTTCGACGAGCAAGCTGTTGCCTTGCCGAGAGCACCCGGGGCTCGACCTGCACCCCAGGAAAAGCAAACCGTCATATCCCTTGCGGAACAGCAAGAGCAAACCGTCATATCCCTTGCGGAACAGCAAGGGCGAAGGCTACTGACGTTCGGGGCCGTGTGACCGCAGTTGGCTCGGACATTCCGACGGCGGTGGGAGAGCGAGCGAAGGGCAGGGTCAAAAGGCTTCGGAAAAGCTTTACGGCAGCGGACAACCACACTTCCTCCTGCGCTTCTCGCGCTTTCCCAGTTGTCCAGTCCGGCAAGGTGCGGCGCGCCGACGACTGGACGAGGAGCCAGCGCAATAGCGCAGTGTCGGTGTGTGACACCCCAGCCTACGTTGCGTACGCTTCGGCCGACGCTAGCTAGCTGCGTCCAGTCAGCCCGTTACGTTGAGTCTACCTCCTCAGCGCAGTGAACCACGAAGGGGCATACCTATCTCTTCCCGCCCGGGATCCGTCGGAAGGCGGAGTAGTGCTCCCTGTCGACAGCCTACCGTTCGGAAGCAGTGGCAGCGTGTGGTCCTACTTAAGGGTAGCCAACGTTCTTTCGTTCCTGGCAGTCTCCTTGTTGATCGTCCCGTCAGCTCATTCCGCCCGAGGATTCCGAGCTTGCCCTTTCCGGATTTTCTGCTTTCAAAACGTTTCATACGGGCTTGGGCTTCCGAGCCTAAGGAAAAGAGACCGGCCTGGTCGCACGCCCTTGTTGGCGTCCTTTGGGCTTTGTGCCAGAAAGCGTTTGGGCCAGCCCGGGCCCTGAGCGCGTGGCGAGGCTCGTAACAGTCCTGTCCGAGTGTTTACAAAAGAGTACTTGTTCGGGCCCTCTGGCCGCCAGACTTGCGGGGAAGCTGAGGTTTTTGGGCGACCTGGCCAGGTCCAGTTCGTCAGCTGAGGTTGAACTACACCGTCGGTTTTCACTCGTGAAGGAGTTGCTGCCAGCTCTTAAGCCTAGTTTCCTCCCCAGCATCTCCCAGTCAGTGCAGAAGCGAATCGGACGCATCTATACCGATGCCTTCCTCACTGTGCATGGAGGAAGGAAGTGCGCCAACCGTTGGCTGGACACCAGTTCGGCGTTGCAGCAGCTCAAGCAGGCCACCAACGGGTGGGGGGCCCAATCTGCTTCAGTCAGGCGCCAGGTGGTGTTTTCGAGCACAGGTCCCAGTCTGCAGCCGTGTTGTTCTTCCAGAGACTACATCTATCGGTTAGAAGCAGTCGCACAGCTGATCTCTGATAGAGGTGGTGGCTCGGGACCAGTTCGATTGTTTGATCTGCTTCGTGGACAATACAGCCACGAAAGGGAACATCGCTCAAAGGACGCGAATTGTATCTCCCTTGAGTTTGCTGATTGTGGCCTGGCTTTTACGTAGGATACTTTGTGTAATTGCGCCTCATCTGTCGGTTTTGGCAGAATTCGCTTCCAAAGCTGGCAAGTGTCACACGGTTTCGCTACAGAAGAAGCGTTTTCTTTGTGGTTTTTTCCATTGGAAGCCAGAATCCTTGCGAAGGAACTTCGAAGAACCCTGCTCTTTGTTGGTTGTTGGGTTCTTTTGGTTGCGGTTGTGGGCTGCTCAGCGAGGCTTGTTCGTAAGTTTTCAGCGCGTGACCAGTCAGGCCAACTTGTCCGACAAGGTGTCTCGAGGAGACTATTCGGAGGCCGACCAGCTCCAGTGTCAGCGGCTGGAGCCCTCGTTCGACAGCGTGGTCCGATCTTCTTCGCCTACAGCACGCTCCAACAGAGTGGGACTACCAGACAGTTGTTGACAACCTGTTCGCCTTCCCACCGCGCAAAGGTGGGGAACGCGCGCAGTGAGTGGTTTGTTCGAGCGCGCCGTTGAAAAGGGTCCTGTTGCTCCAACCCGTTCGTTCGCAGACAGAACGCCAACACAGTCGTGCAAGTCGAGGCGAGAAAAGTGAGTCTCGACCGTCTGCTGCTTCCTGTTAGTACAAAGGAGAGAGGGTTTTGTCTGAGGCTTTTGGTTTCGGCTAGGCCAGTCAGGGCTAAGACTCAATGTGGAAGTGAGGGTTTGATGCGTTTGCTGCCGTTTTCGTCCTTGTTTGCAGTGCGTAAAGTTTGCTCATCGGTTCGACGGTTTCATGTTTCCCAGTTTTCCTTGAAGCTCGTGGCTGATGGAACTGGTGCTCGTGGTGTAACTTCTTTCTATTTTTTGCTGGTTTCGTGATTTGGTGTGACCGGTCTTTGAGGAGCTCGGTTGTTGTTTTGAGGTGGTGCTTGCCACCGCTAAGTGGTTGAATGTTTGAGTTGGTCATTGCATCCTCTATCTTTTAGGGTTTGCTGGGTTAATCTTTCGCCGTCCATGCCACGTGTTGGAATGTGGGGCTTCTACTCATTGCGTGCCGTTTCGTTGTGTAGTTTTTAAATTGATTTAGCCTCCAGTCGTTCTTTGGTTCAGGACTTTTGCTTTCAGAGTTTAATAATTTAGAGTTTGTGGCTTCTGGCCATCACTTCTTTTTTGGGGTTTCTGGTTTCCAGGTTGGGATCTTTTTTGGATCATTTCTTTTGCTTTTACGTTTTGCCGTGTGTGTTTCGTTCTGGGGAAAAACCATGGCTCGCAAAGTTTCTGAGGTTTGCCGTTGAAGATGGTTGAAGGAAAAATTTACGTGTTTGCGGTTGTTGCTGCGCCTCACTCTTCTTCAGGTTTCTGTTCCGCAACCCAGCACTCAGTGAGGTATAGTGGGGTGTCTGCCTGCGACGACTTCTTCAGGATTACGTTTTGTAGCGCATCTTTCAGGGGTCTCGCCTCGTCATTCTTTTCCTGCTGTCGCGTTTAAAAGCAATCTTCATCTATCGGGTTGAGGATCGAGGATTTGCGGCTGGGGCTCAAGGCTTGACGACGCATAGTTTGAGGTAGGATGGGGTGCTGCCCATGCTCCTGGTGGACATTTGGGGGTTTTTTGCCCCTCTGACCCTTTCTGTGATTAAAGGTCTGTTTGGCGATCACCTCTACCAATTGTGTGAGGTTTTATGTTTCGGCTAGGCCGGTTCGGGCTAAGCCTCAATTTGGAAGTGAGGTTTTGAGGCTTGTCATTATGTTGTTTTGTTGCTTTTTTGGTCTTTCGCGGTCTTGCGCTGTCTCTCGGTCGTTGGGTTCTGGAGGGGCTGCGGTCCATCGGCTGTGCTGCGTGGGATTTGGCGGCCCGTTGCTCCTTGAAGCTCCTCATGTGTGAAAGGTTCGTTCGATTGAGAGCCGTCAAGCTTCTGAGGTTTAGGACGGGCATGTTAACTTCACTCTCAAGATTGTCAAGGGTATTTTCATTTTGAGTTGGAATCAAGCCGAATAGTGTTTGTCGTGCCGGAAGCCGTGAACTCACTTCCCAACCAAGTTTTCGTATTGCCATAGCCATAAGGCGTTGAGTGAGTGCGAGTGGTTTCGGACAAGAGCGCTGCATGCCTCTCATCTCAA